GTAACTGCAATACAATCTAGATCCTCTGGGTTGCTGTGTTTTTATTATCTTGCGTTTAGGCTAGATTTGCATTCATGCGTTTTAGATTTTGGGAGTGGCATAGACTTGTTTAATGTTTTTAACTTTTAAGATACTTCTCAGTGTTTGAAGTAACCTATCAACTTAACAGTATCACTGCTGGGCTTTTGAGTATTAGTCATGTCAGTAATTATTCTTGACGGAGATTTTGTGCCCCCTTCCCCACGTATTGAAACTTGTCGTCAGTTTTCATACATTCCTTCAGGGTGGAAGCGAAGCCTTGATTATTATTTTATTTTTTTCCGTGTGTGCGTTTTCATTTGTGTCGTGTGACTCGTTCTCTTCACTGCCGGCGTTTCACTCCAATCAACACCAAAGACTTTCTTCGTTAATCATTTCGGAAGCACGGTCGATCATATTTCTTGTCACCTCCAGCATATACTGTTGCAGTCGTGGGCTTAATTTTTTTTTGGAATATATTGTGAAATCTCTATTTTAAAAATAATAAGAGGTTGAGGTTTTATTTTTGAGCTGTTTGCTAATTGTATTTGGAATGTATAGATAATAAGCTGCTATATGCTGATTTTGCGCCACTCGGTAGCTGTGAATTTAGAGGATTAATCTCTTTCTGGTCTGCAGTCTCTCCTTTATTATTGTAGTTCGAACGACTAGATAAAACTTAAGTGGTTTTTCTTCTGATCATAGAGTGTATTAAATGCTACTCCTTCATGCTAGTGCCACTGTATATTGGCTTTGTTGTTTTGAAGTGTTTCTAAACTGCTGTATTGGAAGTTAAGTTGTCCTCTTGGTTTTATTTTTTATTCTGTTGTTTTTTGGTGTGTGAGTGTTTTGTGTGTATTTAGCATCAGTATTTCAAATGTAGGCTGGGTTTGCTTTGATTCTGTAACCAGTGTGATGTATTATTGTCTTTCCTTTCTTCAACGCGGCTTTTATTTCCGTTATAGGACTGTATTTACAACTCTTCGTACTGTATCAACTTAGTGCCTTTTCCTCAACCAGTGGCAGGCGGATGATGTCTACGACATCAAAGCAGGAATATTGTAGGCTTGCTCCTTCCTGGAGTCCACTCTGGTTTTCGCATAATAAAATCCCCAAAGTTTCTTCTGTAGACAAAGATGAAAACAATCCTGCATTTCTTTCTTTCTCTTTTTTTTCTCGTTGTTTTATTTTCCATTTTCACTAAATCCTAAGAAAATCCAAATCAGGGAATGTTTTTACTCACCAAGAACAACATGCAGCACTAAAAGACATGGGGGGGCCTGAATAACATTCACAAATGCAAAGCTTTATCTCACACCATGAATGTATTTGTGGATGTCAAGAAATCAGTCTTTGGTTTGCAAGCTCAGCATTTGTCTACATTTTGGGTGTTGATAGCACTTGTATGCAGCTATTACCATTGGTTAATGGTTTTATGTTTCGTAAGGATTTTTTCGTTTTTTGTTTTTAAATGCTTTATCCATCACTCATAATCAAAATGTAGGTCCAAAGTTTTCCCACCCTGATCTAATTATTACATTACAGTATAATGGTTTTGCTATGTTGTTTAGGCATTGGGTATATTTTGTGTGCTTGTCAGCTATGCTACTGTTTGAGTATGTTGAAGTTTTGTGTTGTGTACACCAAATGTTTTTTTTGTTTGTTTGTTTTTTGTTTTTAAGATTTTATATGTTTTGTGGTGTGTAGCCTCTCTTTGCAAACCATCCTTCTCCCCTTCTAACACACATACTGTATGTGTGTGTGACAGCTTTGCACAGGTGATGCCTCATGCTGTAATCCCACCCACCACCACTTTGGATTAATTGCTTTGGGTAGATAAATCTCACGTCCCTGCAGATTTATGCCGACAGTTGCATCATCAAAGACGCCGGTCGGGGTTTTGGGGGTTTGTCACACAGTCCCTGATCCAAAGCTTAGCAAAGCACATGGAACCCTGCTGCCTTCAGCAACACAGCAGGCTTACAAACAATGTTAATACTCCTAAAAGCTTGTGGGGGGATTTCTGTTTTTAATTGGGCATTGTAATACACATGCTTGAGAACATGTAATAATACAGAAATACTTGCTCCAAGACTGCTTTCACTGGGCACCAGCATTAAAAAAAAAAAAAAAATGCCATATCAATTGACACGTACCTGAACATCTCATTTGGTTTGTGAGTTTGAATCTGTTTGAAATTAAACTTTGTAACATCATTAATTATCATTACTTAGGCACAAAAATGTAAACACAATTGCAAAATGTAAGAATTTAAGCTGTTACTGTTCTAAATGTGTAGATTTTTGTGGCTTTATGATATGTATTCCTTGATTTTTGTTTTTGTTAATCCTAAATGCTACTCTAGTGTGACTTGTAGCAACTGCACTGTGCAATATACAACAATATATGAGGACTGGGAAAATAATTGTTTGGATGTATTAATGTGTGTCTTACCAGTTTGCGGTCGTCCCCTCCTCCTCCCCTCTCTAGTTCTCAGAGTTTCAATGTGACCAAGCCTTATGTACTTGTCACAAAAAAGCGGGTTCCTTCTTGGTGACTCTTATTGGTGAGTGTCAAATTATGAATTTATTGTATAATATGGTGAGATTCACTTTGAATTAAAAAAAATCTTTTGCTTCAGTCACTGTTGTTCTTTTTGGTCATTGTGAGGGAATGAAGCACCAAATACTTCCTGGATCAGTTCGATGACTTGATCCAGGAAGCATTGTCATGCAGATGTTAGATGCATGTCTGGTTCAACCCACCTTAATTCAATGGATGACATGCATCCTTAGCACATCACAAAGTTCTACAGTGTTCTGGTAATGACTTGGTTATTAGTCATGTCTGTAGAAGCGGCAACATCCTTAAAAGTTGCTGGACATCAGCTGTCGAAGAGAAGTAAAGATGGAAAGTGCACAAAGGTAATAGCTCTGTCAGTAAATGTCTGGGGAAGAAATACAAAAGCACTGAACTAGGAGTGTATTCTAGAAAAAAGGAGTCTACATTTTGGGTGGAAGTGGCAGCTCTGTCCAGGAAAAAGGCAAACGGCACTGAGGCGGGAGCATTTTTATTTATTTTTTTCAAAAAAGAAAATTATGACAGTTAATTACATCAGCGTTGTCAACGACTAGGAAAGGACCAGAAGCACTGAGCCAAGAGTGTGTTTCAAGGGAAAGAAAATATGAGTGTACACAGTGATCTGTCCAACAATGAATATGTTGTAGATAAAAACAGCTAAGAAATGGTACACAAAGATACTGGCAACTGTCGCTCCTTATTAAAAGACCTGTATTAATAAGAGACCTCAATGGTCTCTGGGAACACAAAGTGCTACCTACTATGGGAATATAACCAGTACATGGAGAGAAGCACAAGAGAATCAAAATAAGAAAAGTGGCCAGGGACTCAATCTACATAACAGTAGAGATTGCATCAAACTTAAACCACTCAATTTTGGGCTTTAGTAAAAGGGAAAGTTTTAAGCCTAGTCTTAAAAGCAGACAGGTGGTCCAGCTTGACAAAAGGATTTTGTCACGTAGTCGGCATCAAGGAATCTCACCAAATTTATTCAATAAACATGCTATGTTTCTGAATTTTGCAAAAAAAAAAAATCTTAACAAAAGGCCCCACTGCAATATCTTTAGAAATCAAAATGGTGTGATAGCGATTTGTAGCAATGGCTGAAACCTAGTTCTTGGGTCTGAAATTTCAGCTTGGACTTTTATTTGTGAAATTTTCATATTTACCCTTTGCTTTAGTGCAGGGGTCCTCGAGGGCTGGCATCCTGCACGTTTTGGTTCTCTACCTGGTAGTTGTAACTTTTTCAGCATGCCAGTGTTCTTAGGCCTTTTAATGAGCCATCATTTGTGTTAAACCAGGGAGAGAACGAAATCGGCCCCTGAGGACTGACTTTGGGCTCCCCTGCTTTAGTGTGTTCTCCCACACTTCAGATACACGCATTATTATTTTCTTATTACACCAGGAAAATGACAGAAAGAAATGCTAAATGACTTATATATATATATATATATATATATATATATTTATATATTTTTTTTTTTTCAATCATATGGAAAAAATGTTTTGGACGGTTCAGGAACAATTTGTTAACTTATCAGTTCATGGCAGCCTTTGATCGGCTGACTCTGGTCTTGCCATCAGTCGCCACCAGGGGGCGCCAAATCCCGATGGAAAAGATGCGCTCGACGCTGCGATTCCTCGCATCCTCGTCTCACTTCTGAGGTCGAAATGATGGAGCAGCCTCAATCCAACAACAAAACAAACTCCACACGTCAGTTGATTTATTTAATTTTTATCATACCAAACGGGCAGACTGTTTTTGCAATCTGCCTGAAGCCGCGTTAAGTTGGTCACAAGCTCACCTTCCGCCGGAAGTGACCTTCAAAAGTTTCTCTTTTTCCACATATAAAAAGACTTATCCAAGAAAATAAATAATTATTAAACTATTATAATAGCAGTATTTGTTTTTATATGACAATATAAAAATTCAGCAACTGTAAAATGTTAAATAAGCAACCAAACACAGGAGAAATAAACAGAGGTCCTGTAAACAAAGACAATACAATATTAGAGGTATATCGAGCAAAAATAAAACTGAAAATAGAAACCAACCAGGGATTGAATAGGCTATACTCAACATTTGATTTTTAAAAAAGTGATAAAAAAAGAAAGAAGTCAGACTAAAAGAACAGCTTGTCTTGAGAGTCAGAGCAGGTAAAATAGAGAGTTTACCATCCATCACATAGGAACGCAGAAACACAATGGACATATAACTACAGTCATGTGGATAATTTTAAGAGGCCAGTTAATAGTGAAACTTTTGGACTGTGAGAGGAAGCTGAAAGTCCCTTAAACGGCCAGCTAATGGCCCAGTTTTATTTTGAAAGAAGTCATGGCTGGCTTCCGGCCTCGGAGCCGTGCATTGACGCTTCCAGCTGCAGCGGGATGATGAGCGCCTTGCGGTCGCAGTAGGGACTTCAGAACCTCACCAACGCTTCAACGCACAGACCTCCGCCGGTCTGAGACGCAAACGGGGGGAGAGAAACCTAAAACCAGACCGTCCTCCTGGTCGACCCACGCAGCCTCCGGACGGGCTCATGGAGAGCGGAGCCCTGCTCGTCCGAACCGGGGGCAGCTTGATCGGATGCCTTTCGCCACAGCGGCGCCGTTAGATGATTCCCACTCGGGATTAATTGGCTTGATCAATGGCTTCCAAACATGCGCTCCTTCGCAGAGGCGCCCGCGGGGATGAAACGGCGGTGAAGCCGAGGGGATGGATTCGGGACGCGGGGATGGTGGCCGTCCGCGCGCCGAAGAGCTGGAGGCGGTCCAGGACTCCGAGCGGAATGATCATCATCGGGGCGCTCCTGGTTCTGGTGATGCAGAGCTCTTTGGCTGCGGAAGGTAAGTCTTTTCTGCCTTTACTTGATCAAAGGTTATTTCTTCATTTAGATGAAATAAATAAACCACTATCACACATCTGCATCGGATTCCCACTCAACCCCCGATTGTTTATTTATACAAATGAAGCCGAATGTCTCCAGAACCAACACCAGAACATCTCTTCTGTCAGCGCAGTGTTGGAGGACTTTACTCAGATGCCTTTAAAGCTTTTTCAGCGTTTGCACAAAATCTACGATGTTGTGTTTACTCTGCTCTAATGTCAATCCATATTATTCATAAGGTCTAGTGTTTAATTCATGGAGGGCCCCACCGAAGGGCATCCGGAGCAGAGAGCGCTGGGAACCGCATACCTTCACCCACAGAGTCCAAAATCTTTGCATTTGGAGAAAGAAAGAAAGCAAAAAAAAAAAAAAAGACTTTTGCAATTTTTATTAATAAGATACGTAACAAAACAAATTTCAGAGTCCAGAGATCTAATTAACTATTGCGGATTTAAAGTAAGAGCAGAGAAGACAACCTGCTGTACCCAACAGCTGGTTCAGACCGACCTTGCAGACTGTGTGAGAAAAACGGTTTTGTAAAAAAAAAAATACTATACAGACCCTTTAAAATGATTTAAACAAGATCCGTCAGTTTGTCACTGTTGCATAAAACAAAATCAAATATTAGAGATCTGTGAGGAAAACACTAAGTATATCTCAGGTTTTAATAACAATCAAACCCACTTCTAGTAATAATGACTGTGGCCATTTGTGTCTATCAGATGACTTCAGATCTGATTCTTCAATGTCCAAGACACCCTGGTCAGGTAGCTGGAAAATAAGCCCAGGTCATCATCCTTCCACCACCGTGCTTAAAATCAGCTGTGACGTGTTTGCGGAGTTCCTTTCGAAGCTGTGGTTTATGCTCCAGTGTTGTGATTCTTTCAGAGGAGACTTTGCAAATCCAAATATTTATTTAAGCTTTTCACAGAGAAGCAGCTTTTTAGATTTGAGCCATTCCAAACATGCTATGTGAGTTCTGCATTTTTCTAATTGGTTGTCATTGACTTTAATACTTGTCATGCTAACTGAGGCTTGTAGAGTTTGTGTTGGATACACTGTGCTTGTTGCTTTTTTAGTGGCTTGGTAGCTAAATTCGGGGGTGATGTGCGGCTGTACTGACTGTACGAATGAGCTGTCTCACAGCTGAATATTGGGCCTCTGATTGCTTCAAAATACCACAAGCAATCAGAGGTCCAAACATGCGCTGGATGGACGGAAGCTGGGTGCTACTTTTTATCTCTTAAATCTTACGAAAGTACTATTTCAAAATTACAAACGCAAATAAATTAAAAATGACAAATGATTTAAATACAAAAATGCACATTTAAGTATACAAAATATGTGGCAAGTTAGCAGCTTTGTGCATTTATACCTTATTGAATGAACGAGGAGAAGTTTATCACAGTGTTTGGAAAACGTCAGTATTTTTTTTATCTTTTTTTGCCTGGCGCCTGAAGGAGAAGCAAATCACCCACTCACACTCTAAAACATTTTTCTCTTAAAAAGCACTGTTCCATTTACAAGCGAGTGTTTCCATAAACCCATTGAGAAGAGTCAACTTTCACCTGCTTACTCAGTCATTCAGTTACTTTTGTTTTTTTTTCATACCTTTAGAAATTTCAATCATATGTCTTTATTTTCTACATTTCCATTTATAGTCGGGTAGGATGCTCGGAGGGCTTGTTTTCTGTTCTTGTGTGTGTCATTTATTTGCGTTTGCAGCCACATGTGTGTGTGTGTGTGTGGGTGTTTTCTTTGTTGGTTCTACATCTCCCCAGTTGGTAGCTGCAACTAAAATAAAAATAGAACATTTTCCAATAGTGTGCTTCCATGCCCCTCTGTCATAAACGTCCAGATAGTTATAAAAAAATAGAACTAATAGGCAATTTTTTCAATTTTTTGAAGTTTTAAAATGAGCCTAATGTCTTAACATTTCTCTGCGGTCATCAGTGTCAGTTTGAAGTCATTATATCCCTGACACAGAGTGTAATCACAGAGCTGTAACACTTTTTTATGTTCGTTATTAGTGTTGTCACCATGGGAACAGATATGCAGCTTATACTTTTCTTCCTGAGTGTCCTCGATTTGAAAAAAGCCCCGAACATCTAAGCTCCAAGTTGAAGAACGGTGCCTAATAATCAGCGATAGGAAATGAAGCAGAGTGTATGCTGAACTGTGGTGTATTTATGAATGAATCTGCATCCTGCTGCCAAACATGCTGTTGATATTATTGTCACTGGTGTGTCTGAATGCCTACATGAGCTGCTATTTTGTTAAAAACTGGTATCAAAGTATCTCAAGCTGTCATTTTAGTGACTGGAGTTTTTTGCCAGTTGGATGGAGCATACAGTAATGGAATTTGTCCTCCACCACCTGTTGCTACACACTGCTGGTCATCTGGCTGAAAGAAGGCGACCACACTTTTCCACTGTGTACAAGAAAGACAAATATGTCTGTCGAAAAATACACTTAAAAACATCTACTTATGTTTCTCTGGCTCAGGTGTGTCAAACTCATTTTCGTTTTGGGCCAAATCAAGATCATGAAGGCTCTTAAAGGGCCGGTTGTGCCAGAATGTGTTGATAAAACCTGTTCACATAATCTTAATATGTCAATGAATTCTTAAAATTACATAATATTATTGAAGATCTCTTCAGTCCCTTCAGGGACTAATAATAAATGAGACTGTTTATTTACTCGGTGTATAAATCATGGACTATAATCATACATCAACTAAATTCTCAAGAAACTGGAGGAATTGATTGATATAAATTGTCACTAAACAGATAAAAACTGCATTGATATGATTGATAATATAATATTTAAGCACACTTAGTGTTTAGTCTTGACTGTAGAGGGCCACATAAAAAGCTACGGCGGGCCGGATTTGGCCCCCGGGCCTTGAGTTTGACACATGTGCTCTAGATGCATATGGAGTCAAGAGAGAGGCTGTTCTTAATCCAAGGGCTTTATTATGATGTTCCACTTTTTTGCAGCAACTTCAACTCTTCTTGAATGATTTTCCATTAGATCTTGTGTGGCTGTCCTACTCATTTTTTCTTTTTTGACCATTCTCCCATGAGCACATTTTTGAGGTCAGACACTGATGTTGGATGAGAGGGCCTGGGATCTTCATTATTAGATTAAGATCATACTCACACTTTAGAGGCATAACTTCACCAAAATGTACCTTTTGGATGATTTTAGTTTCTGACACAAAAAAAACCCAGGAGTCATTGTATTTAAGGAAGTTTGTTTTATAAATGTTTCTATGTTTTTTTTCTCTGTCCTACAGTTACAAATAAATTGACATTTATTGTGCAAATAGGAGATTATCTCATTTAACAACTTTTACAACCAGTAGCCGCTTTCTTTATTGACGAGTCATTACAGCAGGAGCCTAAAAGCTTCTTGTCTCTGCAGAGAAAAGTCAGGCAGCAGAGAAATACAGTGAAGACAGTAATCATATTTTTGTAAGGGGACATGTCATATAGTGAAGACAATCTGTGCAGCTGTCTCTGAAGAGACACAGCTGCACGTTTAAAACAAGAATTCTAAACTTGTTCATCTTGATGGTTTAAAATTAAACACAAATTGCAAAAAGCAAAACACCAACTGTAGAATTTGTTTGTTTTCAGAGAAGATGAAAAAAATAAGTCATGGAAATCAGGCTGGACAATTTTATCCAACACAGCTAATCTTAAGAAGCAGGATGGCACTGCTGCACAGTCAGTAATAAATCCTGATGCCGATGATGATTTATCCTGCAGTAATCAATTAAAATGATCAATCTCACTGATTATGTACAACAAAGCCTGGCTCCTCTAAGTCTCCTGTGGTTTCTCATAGAGGATGATTTGGCCAAAGATCAGAGCTCTGAGAGCCTCGCAATCCAATTAAAAGTTTGGGTGTCCATTGTGCTGCAAAGAAGAAGAAGAAAAAAGCATTCAAAGGTGGATTTCTTTGTTGGTTGTTCTGTATGGAAGATTATGCAAAACTAGCAGAGTTTTATGAAAACTGCTAGAGAAGTAGAGCATGAACAAGAGCAGATTTTGTTTTTTGTGCAGCTTCAAGTCACGCTCTTAAAAATGTTTTAAGGTTAAAATTCATTTTAAATCATTAGGTTAATATAATTACACTAAAATGCAACTGTCTTTAATCCATTCTGCTGCTTTGCCTTTACATAATCACTCAGATCTTTTGTTAGTGAACTTTGCTAAGGCTGTTTCCCACTGTGCAACAGTGACATATGCTAAATACAAGTTTGCTTCAAGTTGGAAAAAGATTAAGGGAATATCTTAACTCTTTTTCGATGTAGAGTTGTGGGAAGTAGTCATGAGTCGTTAACATTTTACCACAGATACACAACAGGGCAGTTTGGAGAATCTGCATGAAGCTATTTAAACCAGCCTGACCCCTTTGGAAAAAGTAATAGTTTTCCAAATGTAACTACTGGTGGCCCCAGCTGTGGAGGGGACATTTTTTTTTATTTTTTTATCAACCCTTCTTTGCGGATTGATCAAAAAACCTGAGGGAGTTTAACTGAATAGCTGTTTATGGTCATACTTTAGGAGTTTCTGTATCTTTGTGCCACACTTAGAAGATTTTATTTGTAAATATCTTGAACTCTGCAAGCTACAAACTACACTTAAAGCGCCAAGCTCGTGTAGGACATGTCCACAGGCTGTCAACTGTGATTTCTTTTGGAAAGTCTGCTTATGATTGACGGATGAGAGGACTAGGTCTGCTGCAACCTGCTGTGTTTGATGCCATTCATTTTGCTTCATAATGATTCAGGCTCACACACACTCACACATGCATACGCACACACGCGCACGCACACACGCGCACGCACACACGCGCACGCACACATGCTTTTAAGAGCTGTTCCCCAGTATAGGAACCCTGACAAATCGAGTGAATGGAAGCGCGCGGTCCGCTGTGTCCTCTTCGGCA